GAAAGAACATATTGGGTTTCAAAAATCCTGAAAATGTGGTAAAATAAGGGTCCCATTTTGATTTGTTGTGAGGGGTAAATCAGTCAAACAACACTCAATGACTTGGCCCTAATTTGAGAAAACTCTATTGGTGTTGGCCTTCTATGGCCCTTACTATTACCATGTGATTTTAAATCAATCTAAAATTAAGAGTTTAGAATAATAAATAACGAATACCCTTTTTTAACATATATTTGGTCAGAATAAAAGTTATGATAAGAAGGTGAAAATAAAACATTCATTTACTTTCATTTATATTTAACTACTTTTAAGTGTGTTTAATCATATATAATTAAGGGGCTGTTTGGCAATTGTTGAATGGTTTGTGCAGAATGATTAAGTGATCAGAATGATTAAAGGGCTCTCATGATATAGTGCAAAATGAAGTATAATTGTTTTGTAATTGTGTACAATGAAATTAGGGCTCTTAATGGTTAAGGGAGATCCAGGATACAAAATCATTCAGAGGGTTTTGAAACCATTAAGAGGCATACTTTTTTTTGTCAAACAAAATTCACCTAATGATTCAGAGATTGCCTCTTAATAGAACTATTAAGAGATAAACAAACAACCCCTAAGCGTTTATGTGTTTAATCATATATGATTAAGCTTGTGTATCATGTTTGTAATCATATATTATATTGAAACCTATAATCTTCTCACAAAATATTTAACTTCTCGTTTGAACCTCTTCATATATATATAAAATTATCAATGGTGTAAAAGAATCATATATATCTTTGTTCAAATGGTACACCATGAGTCCAACCACACTCCTAGACCCACACAATGACTTGGACCCATGGTTCACTTTATGCCCTAGTTGGGTTGGGTTGGGTGGCATTCTATGTGGTGCAATGGTGAGCAAGTGTTTATACTTGGCTTACGCTAATTCTTATCTCTTTGTGTATGTAACATGATGTCAAACTTTCTTGTATTACAAGCTTCAAAAGAATTGGTCCATGCAAAAGCTAAGTTATGCATCAATGGTAGTATGTGCATGTGCCTTGAGAGATAAAAGAATTACTCAAATCTTTTACTCGATTTGATTCCAATTCTTTCTATTCATGGATTATGATCAAACCCACGTTCATATTTATCTGATTTTACAATTTGTTTATGTTCATAATATTATTTCTTATTTTGTTTTTTCCATGACCGTCAAAGTAGCTGTTTATTCTGACAAATAACAGAAGCCGAACACAGTTAGAATCACACGATATTAGGAATATGGTACTTTAGAACGATGGGTAATTCTGGGGTTTTTGTGTTGCAACAATTTGAAATTGATGTAACCAACACTATACTTTTGGTCGCAGACACGCTTATGAGAATATAGTATCATCCGGTTAGCATATATGAAATACTGCAAGTTTGTGTTTTTGTTCTGTTTTATTCTTTTGACATTTCAAGTGGTTCTTTTTATCTTCGTAAAAATATATTGGATGTTTTCATAAACGTATTTTCAGAGATCATATTTAAGGGTTTATAGTTTAAAAATGTCTATTTATGTCTTTATGGTAAAAGAAAAACTTAACTTTGGAAAACATAGGGCAAATTGCATGAAAAAATAACATATTTTGGGCAACGTATTTTTAAAACTTCTATTTTGTTACCTAAGATGTAAAGTTTTAAACACTTAAGTGTCCAGGTAACCGGTTGAAAGCTAGTTTTAGATAATTAAAAAAATCATGTCACTAATCACGTCAGCAAATAATGTTGAGTTGAATACCACATCACTCGCCACATCAGTATGATAACCGGTTAATGCTTCAATCAGTTACCCGAGTATTTAAATGTTTAAAACTTTACATGTTAGATACCAAAATGAAAGTTTTAAAAATACGTTACCAAAAATATAAATCAAGTTAAAGTACGTTATTTTTTGATGTAATTTACCCGAAAACATATTTCAAAAATCACACAAAATTCGCTTCCATCATGCCAACTATTAAAATAAAGATTCCAATTTACAGACAGTTAAATATAACTTTTGAAATTATATTCCCAAAAAAAGTTTAATAAAACTACGATATTTTTTAATATAATTCAGTGACGGATACAAGAAAAATTTTAAACGATGACACCATTTGGTTATAAGAAATAAATATAAAGAAAAAGAATTCAAATGATGGCACCATTTGACTATAAAAAACAAATATAAGGAAAAAATTTCAAACTATGGCACCATCTGACTAAGAAAATGACATTAACATGATTCGAACTCGGGTCTGGGTGGAATAAGAACTTTGCAAACCAACTCTACAAAAAAAAATTTGTTCACATTGTAATTTCAAAATACATACGATGGCACAATTAATATGGTTGCACTTTTTACAAACCTAAATTTTTTTACCCTTCAACAGATAAATAATACTGTGACATGTGTCACCATTGGCACCACTGTAGATTCGTCCCTGAGATAGTTTGTCCCGTTTATATATATATATATATATATATATAATAATTTCAAACATATGTTATTTTTTTATTACAGTCAATTTTAGTCACAACCAAGGGAAGACCTATGAAGGACCGAGCAGAGCTGATGCATCCGCTCAACCTATTTTTACAAGTATAAATTTTTTTGGGATATAAAAAGTGTATCCATTAATATCTGAGGGATGTTTTAAGATATTAAAAATACAAGAAACATCAATCATAAAATAAAAAAATTCTCTCAAAATTAAAAAAAAAAAAAAAAACTTCAGAAATCCTTTTGAAACGATAGAAAACGTGCTAAAAAGAGCTTTATGAAATTAAGGGAGGCAAAGTGCAATTTTGTGAAAGTTAAAGGGGTTGGGTTGTAATATCGATAAAAAGAACAACATGACATACATTTTCAATTTTGCATGGTTATATGTATCCTCAAGCACCAACCAAACCTATTTTCGTGAAAGACGTTAGAACACTTGAATTTTATAGTAAAATCTGTGAAGAAAAAAAAAAATCGAACTTTTGGTTACCTTCCCAGCAAAAACATTGTGAAAGTTACGTTCACAATGTTTTGCTGTGAAGTTTCAAGTGTAAAAAATGGTCTTGTTGGTCTCACGAAAACAAGTTGGTCTTACGTGATCTCAAGTCTCTCTCTCTCTCTCTCTCTCTCTCTATATATATATATATAGGGGTAGGTTTTTTGTTAATCGAGTTTATGGTATTAACTTTGTAAACTTATCACAACCATTCATTTTATGAATCAATTGATGACAATTATGATAACAATTTTATAATAACTAATAATATAATACATTATCATCTAAGATGAACATATATGAACAAGGATGTTATTGGAAAAAAAAATCATAAAGTTTGTAATTGTCCATTAATAATATTAATGTTCATATGAACATTAATCCATTGTCATTATTAAAAAATCTCCATTATTATGAACATTAATATACACATAGACATCTCCCCCTATATGAACATGGGATTACTTATGAACAAATTAACATTTTCATCAAGATTAATTTTATTTATTGATAATACATTGTGTAATTTGAACAAATGATCATAATCCCATCAATCAAGCAACTATTAAATTGTAAAAACTCATTAATTAATACAAAATGTAACTTACAGGGGTATTTGTGGAAAAGATCATGACATATGAACACAATCTTATGAATGTCTTATGGTTATGATCATATTCTTATGAATACAATATGAACACATATGAGTACATTCTTATGAATATCTTATGGTTATGAACATCATTAAATACACATAAAAGTAACTTACACATAAGAAATTGTAACATCTCATTAAATACCATAAAGTAACTTACACATAAACATTACATATTTGCCCTTCATCATTAAATCAAACATTTGAAGTAACATCTATTACAGAATGAATCTTTTTGATCCAATAAGTTCACAAAGCTAACATAATATTATTGGTTAACAAAAGATCTTACCTCTATATAGGATATATATATATATATATATATATATATATATATATATATATATAT